TCACGGTCTCAGCGGGGTTTGGTAGAAAAAGCCTTGAGGGCATGAGGCACCCCAGAGGCTGCTTCTTGGCATGTGGTGTCCCACAAAAGACAAATCGGGAAAACGTAGTTTCTCTTTACCTTTTTGGTGCTGCTGTTTGTCCCCTAACAAACACCTGGCCCCAACAACCCCCCCATGGACCAAACAAAATCCCCGCAAGCCTGAGGGAAGAAGGAACCGTGGTGGGTGTTAAAAATCATGCCCTCAATAAAAATACTGGCATTATGCCATTTATAATTATCCCTATGCCCACTCTGTACTAACTTTGCACCTTTTTGTGGGCAGTACTTGGGCATAACCATGCATGCAAGAGGAACTAATAACCTTCTCTGTCCCCTTGCCAGCATCTTTAAAATTATCTGAATAATAAATTAAACTCACATTTTTTTCTCAACCAAACCCCAGTTGGTCTGACCAAAAATAACAACTTCCCCCATAAGCTTTCCGTAGTTACAGCTAATGCTTGTTTTTCATTTGGCCGACAAGCAATTTGTGGTCTCCAGCAATGCTGGTAAGGTCATGTAGCTACTATTCACTTGCCTATCACAGATACAGTTCATTTAATCAGAACCAGTGTGCTTTGATTAAAAAAAAAACAACAAAACTTTCTCTATTGCTATCCAAGTGTCAGTCATTATTACTTACAATTTTTTTTTCATGCCTATGCTTGTATCAAGACAAAATAACCTTGTCTTTTTTTTTCTTGCTACTGCTTTTCATTGTAGCTCCCAGGTCATCTCAACAATCTCAGGAACACTTTGTGATATTTCTCTAGATAATTTTGTTTGTAAATGTCTCAGGAATCAGTGTGGACTGGAAATGAGAGCAGAAATTGGATGCTTTTCTCCAACCAGTGAACAACCCCTAAGTGCAGGCCCCACTGAAGGGACAACAGATTAATGCAGGACCTCTGGAGGGTGCAGTCAGGCCAGAGGATGCTGAAATAGAAGATGACAGTAGTCTGGTTGAAATAGCTGATGTTCAGGGGGACACAGTGACACCTAGGGGGGGCTGAGTGAGAGTGGTCACTTGTCTCTTGAGATGGTGCCTCCTCAGCAAGTCTCACCTTTCCTGAGGTCATGCAATGCTACCTATTTATTTCAGAGCCCTGAAATTGAAGACTTTTCTGATCTCTTTGGACTTCAGTTTAGTGACATCATCCTGATCTATCTCTAGAGGTCATTCTCTTGTGGGGGACAGCAAGATAAACTCCATTACTGAATTTTGTAGACATTACCCTAGTAAAGATAAAAGCACTGCAATCTTTTATAGCTCCTCCAGGGAGCTGTTAGGAGAGGCAGAAGGCCTTTGAAAAAATTTCCCCCCTCCCCTCCATATTACAGAAAAATGATAATGAAAAAATCCTTAGAAGTATCAACATTTTGTGATGTGTCCTTTACAGTCCAACTGACTTGGTGCTTAAAGATTAAGACTTACTGATCACACCAGAATTCTAAATTCCCTTATGAACTACCCTTTTCTAAGAAATTATGCCTAGGAAGTAAAAACAACTTTCTTTCTGGGAAGCTTTGGGAAACATTCTGCATTTTCAGTGTTAACATGAGCACACGAATCAAGCATCCCATCTGCTGCGCATGTGTTTTGCCTAAGTGATAGGAGAACAGAAAATACTTTTGTTTCTGTACTGCAGAAAGAGGCCACAGGAAGACACTGACATAGAAATAGAGAATGACAACACCAGAACAGAAACAACTGCTGCCTGCACCCCTGGGCGAATAATTGACTTGACCATTGTATTGACTCTTCAGGAGGAAGTCAGTAATCAAGTACATGCAAGTAAACAAGCATTTTGCTTCTCAAGATTCTGTTATTCCACCAACTACATATGATTGCTTAGGCTGCTGGGGGGGGTGGGCGTGGGTGAATTGTTAAAAAGGCAGCCAATAAGTCCACTGTGCTGCTAAGTGAGCTTTTAAAAAAGTTTGTTAAATGTCAAGGGCCAAACTTTGAACAGACAGCTGCTAAGCAGCATGAGCCATACTGGAGGCCTGTTTTTAAAACTTCAGCATACCCTGTTAGTAGACAGACCTTTTATACATTCTAAGTAGTTTGCAACATTAACTTGCATTATAACTAGTATCACCGTAAAAATCACAGCTGGAAAAACAAAGTCACTCTAATTTTCAAATAAATGTCAGATATATGTTCATTACAAAAATTTTGAGTTGCACGATTCTGAATTAGTTTTATAAGGAAAACTTAATAATGGGACAGACTTGATAATCGTTGGTTTTAAGATATATGTTCATTACAAAAATTTTGAGTTGCACGATTTTGAATTAGTTTTATAAGGAAAACTTAATAATGGGACAGACTTGATAATCATGTTGGTTTTATTTACTGCTTTGCTTTTCATTTTTATTTGGATCTGTCCCACTTACATGAAAGGAGTTCAGAAGAATCTGGTGAAACATTATTCTTACTTCTGGTAAGAGTTGTTTCAGAAAACGGTGAAAGGTTAGCAATTAATTCTTTCTAGGGCTGTTCCCTCTTAGCTCTTCCAATTGCCTTAAGGGTCATATTGGATCACATAATCCAGTATTATTCAGTTAGTCTGAATGTTGGGAATCTCACGTTCTGGGTATTTTGTTGAATTTGTTTTGATTTTCTGGTAGCAAGAATTGGGGAAGCTTTACAACTAAAATGGCTATACTAACAGAACTCAGTAACAAACAACTTTTTTAAAAAACTACTAAAAATCTTAATCTTTAGAAAGGATGTACCAATGCCTTACCTGTGCTTCAGAAAAAGCTTTGCAGTAGGGTGGTAACCCTGAGTTAGTAACTCCTTATCTGACTGTCACAGTTTGATACTGAAATCACAGTTCTCCTTGTGCCATAAGATGTCCAGCTTCAACAGCGTGGTTTGGAGGAAGTGAACTAGAAGATGTGCTCCCTACCATATGCCAAATAAGGTTTGAGCAGAGTTTTGTACATGTGAACACTCAAACCCGCCAAAGGATCCCCTTTATCTTCAGAATACACACCATTAAGACCTAATCAAGACCCTCAGTTTCTTCTGAACAAGTACATAACAGAATGCAAAGAGTTAACAGCACAGACAATCTATGTGATCACCAAACTACAGCTGTCTCCTATTTAATGAGTAGGCCTAGGGAGATCTACTACTTAACAAAGAGGCTTCTCAACAGGGAAGGCATTTTCTTTTCCAAGTCCAAGAAGTATCCAAACCAAAAGAGACAGAAAGCTTCAGTTTTGCACTGTCAAGATTGCTGTCCTTTGGAAAGCAGCTCTGGTACAAGCAGAAGTACCAACCCTCTGGATTGTAAACATCACGAAACCCACCTTGCTTTGAGAAGTACTCCTGAAGGGTAGCAATTTGCAACAGGGAAGCATCTGATATGAGGCCAAAAGATTGATTCCTCTCGGATCAAATGTTGGGCTCCTGCTGGCCTCAAGCAAAGTCCAACACAGGGGCAGTGCCACTTCAAACACTTCAGAATTGCCACTGCAGGTGCTGCTCATTTCCCACTTGTGATGTGCCAGCTTGAAAAGAGTGGAAGTTCTTAATAGCATTCACTGTCCATAGAGAGTACACTACAGACAAAAACCACACCATTCCAGAAAGCACCTTCTTCCTTGTACTGCCCCCCTCCTCCATGGCAGTACTGTCAAAGTAGCAGACCAGGATAAGAAATCAGAAAAAAATTCAAACTCAGTATTTCAAAGCCAAAAAGATACTTGTCAAGAATATGGAGATCAGAATTTACTATTTTGGAAGGATTTTGCTCTTTCATGTTGGTATCTCAGTATTTAAAAGAAGACACAAAACATCTGGTTTTGGTCAGTAAAGTGTCCATTTAATAAACTCCTTAGCCACATTTCCCACCCCTTCCTCCCACCCTAAAATTTCAATTCACACTTAAGCAGCAGATGACATAAATTGATGGTGTACAACAGAAGTTTTTAAATCTGCACTCTTAGTATTAAGAGTATCAGGGGCTAGTATTTAACAAAATTACCTAGAACTCAGATGTGCCCATGCAAAAAAGCAAATTTTTATATACAGTCCCTATTTTTTTCTTATAAATTTAAATATTTTACAAAAATGTATTTTCAAAATGTAAAATTTTTATATACAGTCCCTATTTTTTTTTTATAAATTTAAATATTTTACAAAAATGTATTTTCAAAATGTATAAAGTTTAGTGAATACTCCAAATGTATCTTAAAATAAAATGTTATCTGATTTCAAAGGTTATTTCAACAATGAAGTCTAAATTGCACCAGATACAAGGCACTTGTGCTGTGTGATGTCTTGAGCAAATATATGTTAGTTTATAATACAGTAATACAGTGTCTTCTTGAATTCATGCAGTTGTCTCCGAGCATCAAGCATCATTAAAGCAGCCAAAAGAGATCGTGAGTAAACTTGATTCCACAGTTGTAAAAACATTTTCTATCGCTAAGTCGAACATACAGCATTGTGCTCCAGCTCTGACTCTAGAATCAAATGCTAACAGAAAAATTGCTGTCATTCACATGGGAATTCAAACTATGTTTCATTCTCTCATAAGTTACAAAAAGAAGTATGCCATTTAATTATGAAACTAAAACACCAATGAACAGCTCAGTGTTCAAATAGTTTGTGCCAATGAAAGTCTGTATTTAAAAACAAGCTAGGGGCTAGTTATTCAAGGAGCAGTGCATCATATTTTCAATTTCCACTTCACTGTTGAGATAAAAGCGCAGTCCTATTTGCCTTCATCTTCTCCAGCCTTTTCATTAAGTGGCTATTGGTCATCTCCATCTCTTCTATCTTATCCAGTGCTGTTCTTAACTGTAAAATGAAAGCAAAAGTTATGATCACTTTAAGCTTACTTGGACTTTCTGCTGTTCTCCAGCTTTGACAGCGGAAATTAAATCAGGAATACAAGTATTATATGCTTTGTAAGAGTCCCACATAAGTTAAGACACGACACCTTCATTATTGCAGTTAGATGAACCAGAGTTCAACTGTTAAAAAAATAATTGGGAAGCAATTGAGTCATGAAACATGTACTCATTCCAAAAGAACTAGGTGCCTGCAACTTCTGTTACACACTATTTAAAGGTATGTTACTTGTTGATGGATATATATTCTTGTGGGTAGCAGGCATCATGCTAGTCATGCAGCAGCTCTTAAGCAAGCATGATCAACAGCTCAGTTAAATACGGCTTCTTCCCAGCTCCCTGTGAGGTGCATGCTGGAAGCTTCCCAGGCTGGCACTTGACATAGGGAGCATTCAACTCCCCAGTAATTTTTATGGAGGGATTAGTTTAAAACAGTACAAGTTATCACATTTAGAAGAAAATACAACTTTAAATCCTTCCTTTCAAGGAAGTACTGCACTGATTTGTAATTAGTATTACTTTTATGTGCTACAGTTATCTTCTGAATGCAATACTGATAGACTCGAAGGCCTCCTCAAAAAAACACTTAAAAGCTGTAACCAAAGAGCTTGGAGGCAAAAGACAGAGCAGTTCAAGACTGAAAGGAGCATACAGCTGAAAAGGAAGGCCAGTCAATTACCTCTCGCTGAAGCTTTCTCTTTTCAGCTTTGAGTTCATCTTCTACTTTTTCTGCATTTTCCGCTGCATTTTTATACCTTGCAACCTGCCCCTCAAGTCGTCCAATCTGCAAACCCAAACAAGAAAAAGGAACGATTACTCAGGTGTTCCACCCTGAGCTCACCTGCCACCAGCTGTGCTTCCTTTCTGAAAAACCACTGTAACACAAGGCATCCTGTGAATTATCCATAGTATCTCCCTCTGGAAAGAGGAGGTTTAACTGTGTTAGCAGCAGCCATAATTGCAAAGAGAGTGTTTAAAAGAACTAATAAAACAGTAAAATAAATTGTGGGCAGAAACTTGGAATACCCTTTACTGCCTGTCCCTCCCTGGCGAGGGTCACAGGAAGTGGTAGAGAATGGAGCATAGCATAGGACACAGCTGAGAAGATACAGCAGGTTAAAGAACTAAGCAGAGAGCGAAAAGTTGGAAAAAGGAAAAAAAGAATTGGGGAACACATGGGATTAAAAACAAAAGCTGGAAAGTTGAAAAGCAGAGACCATACGAAAAGGTGCAAAGTAGAAAGGAGACTGTAACTGTTACCAGGACATGATGCAAGAGGTCTTGAGCTCAAGCACAGAGTTCAGCAGTAAAGAGGGGGCTTGAGACAAATCCTGGTTGCAATCTGCAGGTCTCAAAGCCCACTTGCTGGATTGTTATATTCATAGCTCCCTGCTACCCCCAAATCCATAGGACAGGCTAGTAGCCTGTTGCTGTGCAAGAGAGACCAACTATGCATCTCTGATTCAGATTATAATCCTCTGATTTTTAGGCAATCTACAGAGATGCTGAACTATAATATCATGTTACTGACTTACAATCACAAAGTGTGAGTAAATCAGTGTGAGATATAGATGTATATCCAGAAAAACAAACTCTTGAATTTCAGAGAGTAAATTATGTACCTTCCACAGTCTATACAACTTTCTTACAAGTAATTAAGCTACGTAAACTGATTTTCTTGAACTAGTAGCTTCAGTTCCTCTTTATATTCTGCCATACATTCACATCTTAGTAAATTAACTCCACATTTTCTCTTTTGTTAGACTATGCACAGGTATTGAATTGCAGGAAATATGAAAAAATATAAATGTAGTGCCATTCTGTGCAAGCTAAAGAACAAACATTAAATCAAATTATGAAATACATTTGCAGAGGTTTTGTTGAAAAAAGTATTGGAAAAGTGTGCAGAGCAAGTATAATGATAACAATAAATATGAAAAGAGACACACTTACATTTTGTTCCAAGGTAGTTATATCTTGTTCAGCTTTTGAAAGCTTAAATTTGTATTCACTAATTTGTCTGTTGGCATCTCCTAGACAAAAATTGATGTGAATATATTATTCAAAGCAACTCTAAACTGGCAATTCCCCTTTTAATTAAAATTCATTAAAAAGACCATTTGATTGAGAAGCCCGTATACAGGATTATAAAGCGGTAAATGTTCTTTCAGAAATCTTTTTTGAGAGTATGAAAAGGAAATAGTTTTCCTGTTATTTAGAGAACACAACTACTGTCTCTGTAAGAGTGTGCATTAAATCTCAGATGTATAAATGAGATACACCCCTTTTAAAACACACATATTTAGATAAGCAAATTCATATCTCAAAAAAAGAGAATCAACACAATAGCCAACACACTGCAAAATGGGTCAAATCACAATAGACATAATACCAGCAGCATTTAGCATAGACATCTGTAATAACACTTGAATGATAAGGAGCACAAGACTTGAACCTGCCCGACCATCTCCAAGGAGCTTTGCAAATTATTTTGGTGTTATATTTTGGCCCTGACATTGCCAGTGCTCTGTTCACGTTCATTGCCACAAGCATATTAAATATCAATCTGTCAAACAAGTAAAGTTTTCAGCTGAAGAAATAGCTTGCTTGAAATGGAAAGTAGCATAGTGCTTCTATGAAGCAACACTGAATATTGTGTTAAACTTTAATAACTTTTCATGTTTTGCTTCAGAGAACAATGGTCTTTTGGTTAAGTTTCTGTATCAAAGATTCAAGAAAATAAAAGTCAGGTAGAATACATTAACCAAATATCTCAGCTGAAATTCCATCATCTAAAAATTGAAATTGTTCAAGTAGTGGCACTGATTCCAGGCAAGGTAATAAACTAAAAAATAACTTCCCAGAATGTTGTTATTCAACACTAGAAGAGGCAGATTTTTAAGGTATTCTGCAGCAAGAAGTTTCCTACAAGGAGATATACCAACAAAAAACTAGCTGCTCAACGATATATTCATTCACAATACTACTACTGCACAACAATATAGGAAAAGGAGTTGGAAGAGTGTTTCCTCTCCCCAGTAAGAATACCTTTGAACAGTAACCATATACCTACTCTGCATTTCGATTAGCTGTAAGTCAGAACCGTTCTCTAAGCCTATGATATCTGGATTCATGCCATCACTTTTAGAATATTTCTGTCGTTCTTCTTCCAACTGCATCTTCAGTTTTCTAACCTGAAAAAGAAGCGTTCTTTTGTGAAAAAGAGACTCCCGGAAGTTCAGTAGTTGTATATCTAAACGTTCAATGGGAAAAAGGCAAAGCAGTCCTGAGATGCCACTGGCTGAGATGGTACTGTAAGCAGGAGTAGCAGAGCCATGCAGGGGAAGCAGGGAAGCCAGTCCCTGAGGCCTGTGGCTGCAGTCCCCCATCCCCATTGCTGGGCGAGTGCCCTTTGCATGTCAATGCACAATCCAAACCCACCAGTTTGGTCAGTGCTGCAGGGATCTGTGCAATGCAGGGGCACCCAGTAACTCTAACGGAGCTGCCTTTCCAGAAGAGGAGGTGGCATTAAACTCTGTCTAGGCATTTCTTCTACAGTATACCTTTTACACTCTAAACACGTATGAAGGTAATGAACAATATCCTGGTGATTTTACAGGCGAATAATGCACTGCTTTTTTGGGGCCCTCTCTTTTACTCCACCTGGAAGCAATGGTGCTAGGCAAGTCTGTAGCGCACATTAGTCTTAAACAGTTCCATTTTATGCTACAGCAGCTGTCTCGGGATTTTTCCAGTAGTCAGGGAACATAGATTCCTCAGCTATGTCCTCCTTGTCTCGAGTTTATGAAAGAAGTGGGAGCTACTTTTTTGACTCTCTTATCAAAATATTGCCCTACAGATTAGTGGTATGGGAGTTACACTTGCAAAACTCCCAGGCATGATATGAATCAAATACTTTAACAGTGATTTTTACAATTATATGGTGATAAATATGCATATACATCTTTATATACTTATATTTAATAGACTTGATTCAATGCTAGAGTTTATTGGCATTCTAAACCAAGTACCTATACTAAAATTAAGGTACATTCCCAGCAAAAATAAATGTTAACACCACCACTTTAAATTTGCAATGTGTTCAACTAGAAGCACAAAGACTATGGTATTCTTAATTGTTCAATGGCTATGTTTTCTTGAGTCCTCTCAATACTGAACTGTATTAAAATACAACTACTTTGATAATATTAATTTTCTATTTGAGTAACTGAAATGATCAAAGAAATAGTACCACTTTTTGGAAGAAAGTGCCACTGATGTTATGAAAGTGTCACTTTACTGACTTTAGTATTTCCACGTAAGACAAAATAAAAGAACCAACAACTTTAAGTACGTGCACTAATAGTAGAGTCAGCAGCAAGTTAGATTTCAGCTAACCAGTTAGTGAAATGAGGGTTCTTTACCAACCAAGATCGAAGTCAGATGGATAAGGACACTAGTGAGAGGAGCTGATAATTCCTGGTAGCCAGCCAGGTAAGAAGTTGAGTACTTTATTTTGCTTTAGTGCTTAAGTATTTCATTAAGCACCTTTGGTGCTTAATATTTATTTATTGCTACTATATTAATAGTCTGCAAAAAGATACACAAAGGTCTATTTCTGAAAAGAATAGCTTATTTTACCTGGGACAATAATTCCTCCTTTTCTCCAGCCAGTTTTCGTAGCCGGACATCTAAAACCAAAGAACCCGATTAAAAGCCAGAAAAATCTGTAACTAAGAACATTTTTCATAACTTTTTTCTTTTTCAAATAAAATGCTCTTCAGACTTAAAGCTAATAGCACTAGGAGCATAACACTTTGATATCTCACTAATAGCAACATAGCAGCCTTAAGTTAATAGCAGAAATAAGGGAAAAATACTTCATTACACTGTTTATAGCAATTTTAAAAGCAAGACCTGAGTTTAGTAATTCTTCGAAGTAAATTAATACCTGAGGATTTTTTTTTTTTTTAAATAAACCACAGTTTTGTCCCAATATATAGAACAGCCATTTCCAACAAAATTTTCTCCTGATTGTGTACTCTTTTCTCTCTCTTAAAGATTGCTATCTCTTCAGGGAAGGCACTAAGCTTCCCCATATGTTTAGAAAGTTTGTAGACAGTGTTCTCAAACCACAAAAAAAGTACTTGGGAAAGGACCCACATGAATGTTGCAGTATCTCTAATCAGTCAGAAGATGAGTAATGGCTACAAAACAGTCTGTCAAGCAACACCATGCTAAGATTAGAGCAGCTCCCTTGGAAATTGTAACTTTGACAGTAACAAAGCATAAAGACATCCGTATTTCACTATGATGGAGCCACAGCAGAAACACGTATCAAGTCTAATATCTGTCAAAATAAAAATATATAACTATTATGTTAGGTACAAATATAATGCAAGTGCATAGAGACGTTTCTTTGCATGTTAACTAACAGTTTTACAGTGGATTGACTATGCATACAATAATTTGCTCAACCTAAGAATAAAAGCAAGTTAAAATAAAGGCCCCCAAAACCTGTATCTTTGTTGTCTGTGTCATTTTTTGAATGTTTTAAAAACTTTATTTTTTTTTTCTAGTGAGTGTGATGAAAGACTGCACTTGCTTTACACTAAGAAAGGCAGAAGTATTTCAAGGAAGGAGAAAGAATATAAAATGTATTGTTTCCTATAAGAGAAGTTCTTTCATTGACTGTACATACTTTTAAAGAACATTTTTTCATAAAACACAACAGAAAACATACTAATCCAAAAGACTACACTTTTAGGCAAGATATTTTCTGACAGTAATAAAACAGAAACTAGATCAAGAGATCTAATCAGTTACAAACACCCAAGCACATACATTTGTGTTTGTTTTTTTTTTTTTACTCAAGATACATCTTTTTACTCAGCATAAAAAAAAAAGTCACAATCTTTAAAGTTGTGTAAGCATGTATTCCAGAAGCATCACAGGTATCTTTCTGTGGCTGTAAATCACAACCTACTGTGAACAGGAGGGAAACAAAGACTTCAAACACTCTATAAAGTACGTTAGGATATTTTTACCTAGTGGTCCTTCTCCTGCGGATTCCAAGACTTGAGCAGCTTCCTGTGATACAACTGTTATTGCACCAACCACTGATTCATGGTTTACATCACCATTTGGTGTGCCATCTGGAATTATAACTAATCCATGTTTCTAAAAATACAAAAGAAAAAACTACTTATACAAGAGAAGTGCTAAAACGTAATTGGACAGAAGAGTTTTTAAAAAGCTTTTCAAGTTGATTGAAATAGTTGCAATGAAATGCGCTGTTTATCCTACCCTAAGGTCAGGTTTTGAGACTGCACAAGGATAGTAACCATTCTTCCTCTTTTTCATGCCCCATTCCTGGATTTCTGTTACTGTAAAGTAACCTCTACCAACATACCTCTCCTCTCTTCATTGTTTCCTTCAGGTCAGCCAACTCCTCTCTGAGCTCATCTCGCTCATTCTTAATGCAGTCAAAGTAATCTTTCTGTCTTTCTAGGGCCTGGGTTCAGGCAGATAGCAAGAAAAAGAACGGCACAGAGAAAAAGCATATGACAGATAGCAGAGAGATTTTCTATAAGTAAATACAAAGAGCTCAATAAAAGTAAAGAAATTAAAAGGGGTATTTAATATATATAAACATACATCTCTGATAACTACCTTTTACAAGTCACATATCTAGCCTCATTACTGCATGTTTGTCATGACTTAATTTTTTCCCAGGCAAGTCTTAGTAGATTCTGTAATAGATTTTTATTTAGTGGATTCTATTTTTGGTAGACTTTGATAAACTGAATTGAATACCAAAAGAGTAAGTGATTTTTCTTAATACAGGCACTCTGTGGCCAGAAATAAAATTTGCTGGAACTCAATTGGCAAAGATCCTAAAACATTACATTCATTGAACTAATTTCTCTACCTTTTATAAGGTACAGAAGTAGAAATCTTACCTCATAAAAGACCTTGGATATATAAGGATATAAGCCTGTCATCCACTTACAAATACTAGTTTATTTACTACTTGCTTAAGTATTACAACCACCCTTTACTAAACCCAAAGCAGTCCGTTTTAGAGGAAAAAAAAAAGCAGGGAACACTAGCAGCACTATTTTAGCACAAGAAAGGACTGCAGCTAAAAGCATAATATGGACATAGATGGGTTTGCCTACCTATGCTGGAGCTGTGTTACCTGGCAGTTAGTCAGACATTTTCACTTGACTGGGCAGCATCACAGTATTCCATTCAAATTTAATACTGCATGCATTACAAATAATCCTGACCATACAGCAACTACAAGTGTACACACATTTTGCCAAGAAAATTATCCAACTAAACCTTGCGTCATGCTTGAATGTTTAGGAATGGACTGATACGAAGAAAGAAATGAAGGTGTATACTGTTGTATTGTAATTGCTCCACATAATTGCAGTATGCTGAAATTTAATAATTAGCTAGAATCTGTATACTAGAGCAATGTTTTAATGCATTACTTTTAATTTCAACAGAAAGATGTAAGTGCTGTTGCACTTGATTTATTAGTATATAAATGTAACATTTGAAATGTAGGTAATTCAATGTGTGAAAGCATTAGCTGTCACATCACTGTTTAAGAATTCGTAAAATGTCCTTTTATTTCCTAACACATACTAGATCTCTGTAGCTACATTATAAACAGTGTGAAGAACCTTAATCATTGCATCACTTCGCGTTCCACTTGAAGATAACATATACCTTTTCCATTTTTGAAGAATAGCGGCAGAGACAGAGAGGGAAGTAGGCTCACCCACTTGAGAGAATGGACACAAAGGCCCAGAATCACACTGCAGACACAGATCCCCTGTGTGCTTGGCAGCACCCTGTGATGCTGCTGACCTTCCCAAAACATTCCTTCTATCGTCACCCCTCAAGTGCAAGTGTTGGAAATCAGAAAATTTTGATGGGGAAGGAAGTGAAACTGATATAACCATGTATCTCTACCTATGGAGAGATTAGTAATCATTATTCAACATTGAAAGGCTTTAGTAAAACTGCTAGTGTTTTATTCAACATTGAAAAGCTTTAGTAAAACTGCTAGTGCTTGTATGCTCAGGTGTTATGATACATGACATGGATTTTGTATTAAATCTACTCCTGCAATTCTTCTATCATGGGGCAGTAGGGGAGGGAATAAAAATCAGGACAACTAAGCTCTGCAGGCTTGTTTTAACACACCAGTATGATTAAAATCTGATCACTTGGCAGAAAGCAGATTTGTCTGGGGTCCTATTTTCTAAATATTTGAAAAACCTTCACAAAATCTATACTGAACTCAGACACGCCATTGCTAATTTCAAATTGGCAATGCAAGCCAAACAGTAAAATAGCTGTGTAGTTCAGGAATATAACCTGGAAGTTATAATTCAGTATCCTCAAATCGACCTAATTTAAGACCAAATACAACTGCAAATTCCAATCACTTTGTAGGAACAGGACAATATAAGAAGGCAGGTGTAAAACAGACTCATTGCTGTCTCTGTTCTGCTTGCCTCCCTTTCTTCCTCTGAGGCAGCATCAGTCTTGCATACATTGTAAAACTAAGTTACAATTCTAATTACAAACTACTCCTTTGTGAAGCTTCTCAGGGACTTCTGAAGCTGGAAAACAGTAAAAATTAGCAAAACTACTCAGTATTGGGGAGAAAGACTAAAAAACTGTGAGCTAAGAAAAATATGTAAGTGTTTTTAGATAACAGAATTAAGAAAGAAAAGACAGCAGCATTTTTACATTTTAAGAACTAGGCTTCTCAGGGACTTCTGAAGCTGGAAAACAGTAAAAATTAGCAAAACTACTCAGTATTGGGGAGAAAGACTAAAAAACTGTGAGCAAAAAAAAATATGTAAGTGTTTTTAGATAACAGAATTAAGAAAGAAAAGACAGCTTTTTACATTTTAAGAACTAGGAATTTTCAATTCCAAGATGAAAAAAAACTAGAAAAGATCCAGTTATGGTGTTTACAAGAACACAGAAACAGACAGGAAAATTTTGGCTAAAGGAAAAAATATCTTTCTTGTCAGTCTGGCTGGTAGCTAGTTTTTTTGAACATTAGATAGATGATATGCTCTGTACTAACTCTAGCAACATATTTGAAAGAGAAAAAAGTGCTTGCACAAAAAAACCTGCACAAATTGGGATAGTCCAGTACACAAAGGTAAAGAGTAAGTATAGAAAAAATATGGTTAAAGATAACCTTTCAGAAGAATGTTCAGAAGAAAACTTAAAAATGTTGAAATATTTTATGATGGAAGAGAGGTTTGCAATATGGATTGAAAGACTGAAACATGAAATAAATATGGACTGAATAAAGACAGTATAACAGGGCTTTTTTTAACTGGGCTTCACTGGTTAAAAGATAACTTTTCAAAGTTACTTGAACTCCAGCAAATACAGCAATTTTCAAAGAAATATGCATATGTCAAAATCTGGTGTAAAATTCATTTAGTTAGAGAGAAATGACCCTAGAGTTACTAAAAGGCAGATGATTCCTTTCTAAAGACTATCCAGCTAACTCCCTCTCACCACCAGGCAATCTACTTGCGGCTCAGAACAGCCGCAGGTTCAGAGCCATGTAGTTATCACCAAGGACCAGGCTGACTGAGACAATTTTACCACTTCTGTGCTGCCCAGAAGCAAAGCTGACAGACTCTGCCTGACCTACATTAGCTGCGTAGTGCATATCAACTCAATTCTTCATGTACCACCTTCATTTTACGCAGGAGCCCTACAGATGCTCCTCAAAAGGTCCCATGCAACCACTGTTTCGATTCCAACTCTCAATTCCAATAGTTGGTAACTCTGGTATTTTGTTTGTGGTATCACAAAATCATCTTGGTTCAGTGTTGCATCCAAGCTAACCAGCCCTAGAAGGATCAGAAGTGCAATACAGGAATGTGCAAGTGTGGCTGCGGAAGTCAATTCAAGATCGTATTTTTTTAGCACTAGGTATGCCAAATGCAAGCGCCATCTACAAATATTCACTGAGGCTTCTCTACATTTTGACCCTTAGCTCCTGCAGCTCCCTAGGTTTTCCATTATTTGGGGTATTTTGTCTCTCTTATCCCAGGTAGTGGAAAGCAGACCATTTTAAAATCCACTAATTGTTATGCAAATTGGTAAGATGACAACAGAGGCAGAAGCCAAATGGCGAGCAAGGTTTAAACTGTTCCAAGTTTTGAAAATTGTATTTGCCTCTAAGGAGATTAAAAGCTTTAAAAATAATTTCAGATCTCTAAAGTTAAGTTATTGCTGTGTCACTATGGATCAATATACAGACCCAGGCAGTTTTTACATTTATTAAGAATAAGGAAATGATGACTTTTTCAAGCTCTGATTACAGGTAAAAAATATTTTGTAAAAAATTGTAAAACTGTATGCATAACAATTTGTTATGTTATAGATTTAATTAGTATTATTCATCATTATGCAAGTAAAGCTGAAGTGGAGCTCATTGTCACTATGGATCAATATACAGACCCAGGCAGTTTTTACATTTATTAAGAATAAGGAAATGATGACTTTTTCAAGCTCTGATTACAGGTAAAAAATATTTTGTAAAAAATTGTAAAACTGTATGCATAACAATTTGTTATGTTATAGATTTAATTAGTATTATTCATCATTATGCAAGTAAAGCTGAAGTGGAGCTCATTTTCTAAATAGAAAGACTGCAAAACATTTTAAATATTTAAATTGGGAGTGGCCTTCATTTCTTTGGAGTACACAGCATTCCTTGGGGGGTGGGGGGCATCCATCTACTTCTAAAATGAAAAAATACCTTTCCCCCCCCATATTTGTTTCATACCCCTATTATTTTATCTTTCCAATTAATTGTCTCCTGGAGATCAAACACCTCTTTGGTTATGGAGTCTATATTCTGCTGCATGCGTTGATTCTCCTGTAGTAAATAGGATGAGGGAAGAATAAAAGAGGAAAGAGAAGTAAGGAAACAGAAAAAAAATTCAAATAAAGGAAATTAAATAGCAAAAGTCAACCAAAGTTTATGAGCATGAAGTTAAAGAAAAAGGGTGCTACTAAGCGTAACGTAATAGTTCCCTTATGAATTCACACAAGAGAACAGTAATTAATTTTATTCAATCACTTAATGTTGATGGGAGAATTTAGTGCAACTAGAGCTACTTTTCTTTAGTAACAGTTCCCATTGCAGACTGGGCATAATGTCCTTTCTTTAGGAAAATAATTAGCCTGCGGTGATTTCCAGATACCTTCAAGCCCTGTTTGGAAGTGAACACTTATATTAACAAGTGGTTTTATTAATATTTTACAAAAAAAGAAAACCTTCTTGGAAGTATAAAGAAGGAAGTTTGAATCAAGCATCCAGGAAGTGAAATACGGCTGCTGACTGCCTTCTGATACTGTATTAATACATTTCAAGTATGGTCCTATTTTTTATCTGACACTGCATTTAGCTCTTTGCCCTAAAATTCTAAAACCAAGAACTAAAATTCTAAAACCAAGAACTAAAATTCCTTTCTATGCTCATATAATTATATATGAAGATGACATAATTTTTAGGGCTAGAGATAATTTTTTGCCTTCCTAATGAGTGAAATTGATTTTACATCTGGGAATGGAAGACAATATCTTTCTGCAAAAAGCTAAATGGCTTCCACTAGATTATCTGTTAGCATTAACAGCTGGAGGAGAAGTTACTCAAATAAATGGTAAATATGGGGCAAACTGCCTTTATCTTTGAAGGGACTGCATGCATTTGGTGAATATTCAACACGCATATGCTACATTCTATCAAAGCAAACACTCCAGACAAATCTATTGTATATTCTTGATTCACATACTTTAAAAAACAAACAAACAGCAACCACTAAAGAAGAAAGTATGAAGTGCTTTTTTCCTTCACAGTGAAGTCAAAGAGAATCCAGAGCAAGTGACAGAACTACAACCAGAATTTGCGAAGTTTTTGCTTGTCAGCATTAATCTGCAAAATGCTGCATCTTAGGCTAGTCTTACTCCTTTTCTTCTGCTAGTAAATCATATCAACCCCAGTTCATGAAGCATATTATTTTCTCAGTAACCATAACAGATCTGGGACTTTTCAGAAGTCTTTTGGAGTTACTGTACTACTGCCTGGAGAGCACAAGAACTTAATGGGGAAAGAAATCGATCAATGAAACACAATATTATATAGCTTTTGAAAATCAGATAGTGGAAACTTTGGCCCATACACTTAAAATCATCAATTTTCACTAGAACCAAAAGGTGGTAGGAAAATGACGTACTAATTGAACTACAATTTACAGCGCTAGAACCAAAATAAATAGGAAATGGACACCTGCTTATTGTTGACAATATATATCTTTGTGGACCATTTTAAAATTAAGACTGATAATAGCTCTGGGATTTTAAGGCACATTTCTTCTAGAAACAAATCAAAGGGGGGAGAGGGGAAAAGAAGAGGGGGAAGAAGGGAAAAGAAGATAACACACCACATACCCAGCAACATGGTTATGACCCAATAACATGCTGACCAGTGTCACTATATTTATGCTTGACTGATAAGAAAACAAACATTCACTACTGCAAACTTCAGTGGCTGATGCTCACAAAAAACCTGAAATAACTGAAAAGGAAACTTTTGGGAAAGGCAAAGAATGATATTTGGTATTATCCATGCATTAGAACTTCTGGCTATGCAAAGTGATTTGGGCCACACAAACATTAGTTCAGCCCTCACAAGGAAGGAAAGATACAAGGAACATTCATGAAAGAACCACAATTTTCACAGGAATTAAGGATTTTACACATTTGAATACCTTGCACAGACATCTTCAACTTCATAAATTGAGAGATTGATAGCTTAGCTTCTACCCACTAACACAAGATAAATTCTTTCTTAAAAATGCGAGATAATATTTAAGCTTATTTTGTGTATGATAGCTGTTCCCATTCAAATTTTACACCATATTTATTTGCACAAGTTCTATCATACACTATCTCATATGAACATACCTCTATCAATTCATCTCTCTGTCGAAGGCCCTCTTTAAGTTCATCCAGCTTATGCTGTAGAACACTGCACGTGTGTTTCTGTCTTTTAAATTCCTATATTAAATAAATTCATGATTTATTCTTATTTATTTTGGGTTTGACACTTATTTTCACTATGAAGTTTTAAAAAGTTAGTAATAGCACTTAACATAACATTACCTAAGAAATTACTACAACAATTTGAGAAATTCTACCTACCAAGTGGCTAAAAACTACAGAATCAGTGTTTTAGGTAAGTTCTCCAGATACTTACTATACAGAAGATTTTATTAAATAAAATCTAGAGTGGAGAGAAAAGATGCCATAAAGGTTTAAGCACAATATTAATGAGAAAAGCTCAGATACTGAATTTATCTAAATATTGCTGGAAAAAGCTGCCACACAGATCTTCCCTTTCCAAGAAAGTAGGACTGAACATGTCCTATTGATTAAAATGCATATTTTATCATTAGTGTATTACATTAATTAAATGCAATTAATTTGCATTTAATTGGGGTGGGGGGGTTGGGATGTTTTGGGGTTTGTTTGGGGGTTTTTTTGGGGGTGGTTGGTTTGTTTCAGGGGGTGTGTGGTTTTTTTAATTTAAAAACCAAAACACAATACGCAAAACATCTTTGGCCACTGAGATAGACAGACTTTTCTACTGATCCAAAAGTTTTCAAATGCTTAAGGTAGTCCAGGCTTCTAATGTTTATCTTTATAATCAGAAAAAGTCTTAAAAATCAGTACCTTTGACTTCTCTTCATTCTCCCTATAGAACTCTGCTATCTGTTCTTCTTTCTCCTCAATGACATCCTTTAGAGTATCCACTTGGTAAACCAAGTTGTTTTTCTCATTGTCTAGTTGAGCATTGGAAACCATAGCTTTCTTGTACTTCTCTTCAACTTCAGCTAGTGAATCCTATAGATAGTAGAAAGGCTTACATTAGTCTAACTTTTTGATGCATTGTTATAATGTTAAAATACCACCATAATGCTGAAGAGTGCTATCTGTTATACAGTAAAAGTACGCAACCATTTTTGTTTCTGAGTTATTATTCATGTCTTCTCTTTAGAAATACCAAGTCACAGTTCAATTTCCATTATTCAGGTTAAGTCATACACAGCAATAAAAAGTTATCATTACAAAAGTATGAAAATTACAAGATAATATTCCACTTGCATTTTCTACTCTGCTACCTTCACAACTTAACTCATAGGGATAAAGTAGTAATATCACAGCTTTATTGTATTTACAATGCATGCACAAGAATACACTTCAGAATGAGGCAACAAACCTGTCAGAACTCAGACAATTACATGACTGAAAAAGGTCACAGAAATATCGCTAAGAGTAGCTTTAACCTAATGCTCATTATTTAAGTAGCATTCTGTACCTCAGATTCAAAGTCTTAAGGTAGTCACACTTTTTAAGTAATAATGATTCTGTTTAAGCAGACATTTTGTCTTTCTATTTCTTACTAATATTTAAAAAAAAAAAGCATGTAAAGATTCACATGCCTGATTCTCTACCTGAAGGTGCACATATGCCTTGCTATATACCCTCTTACGGAATTCCCTCACGTTTACCAAAATGATTTTATCCTATAATTTTTTTCTCAGTACTGTAACAAATGTCATATACCCAAATATTAGAACAACTATCACTCCAGACACTTTTAAACATGCAATGATTTCAATACGCATGCTTTTAAAAATACAAAAATAGAGTTTCAGAGAGTCCTAATTTTAGAATTGAAAAAGAACTATTAAGCCATTCCCTTTCCAAAGTAGATCTGTGCCCTACTACAAATCCCCTAGTATTTAATGTAATCTGTTCTTTGAAGGCATAGGTAGCATAACCTCCATGTTAAATTATTTGTATCATGACAGTAGAAATACTAGCACAGGAACGGCACAAGGCTTGGGTTTTCTAGAAAACAGAACAGTAGGACTAAGGACTAAGATGTTAGAGGAGAGGGTGGTAACAATCTAAGTTTCCTAAGAAAACTTAAGAAACCCAACCCCCAAACCCTATTCCATGTTATAAATCCCCATTTTGAGAAAGCCGTCCTTAAAATACATATTTTATCTTTTATAATTTTATCATAGTCCCATGTATTTAGAACTCTGTTCCATTCACTAAATTCTGGAATTTTGTGCTGGAGAAAAACAGTATTTTAGAAACATGAGAAAAAATAACTTAAGGCATATCCTGATAGACTACAGATCAGAAGAGACAAGACAATGTAAGTAGATAAGAAAGGTACCATTATCATCTGGGAAGCAGTAAATAGCAAACAGCAAAAGAAGATTCATGATAAGATATAAGAAAATGAAAAAATAAAGAACACATAAGTGCATTCAAGTAATTCTTAAGTTTTAGATTAAAACTAGAGAAAACATTTTTTGTGACGGTGTAAACATGACAAATCTTGTAAAGATTGGTAAAACAAAGCGTCAGAGACAGTAAAACTTCCAAAGACTTTCAAAGAATAATTCAATTTAGAGAAAAAAAAGAAAATACTAGAATTAAAATGAATGCTATAGTCCTTTTATGGGGAGATACAAAGTTTAACGAAAAGTACGACTAGAAAAAATTCTAATTTGATTGTTTCTGTGAGTGTGGTGAGTGGGGTCACCTAGTAATTTAGGTTGGCAGATCTCTGGATGACATCTGGTCCAATCTCCTAAATAAACAGGGCCAACTAAGATCAGGCTGCTCACAGCTCATCCGCAGTTCATTTTAAGTATCTCCAGGGATGTAGACTGCAGAACCTGGCTGGACGACCTGTGCCAGTGTTTGACGGCCTTCCTTGAGAAAAGTCTTTTTCTTGAGGTCTAATTGGAATTTCTGCCCTTACAGTGCAACTTTTGACTGTTGCATCTTGCCCTGTCACTGTGCACCTCTGAAAGGAGTCTGCCCTGTCTTCTCTACACCCTCCTATTAGGCAGCTGAAAACAGCAATGATACTGCCGCCCACCCCCCCAAGACTTGCCAAATCCAGTTGTTTCAGCCTCTTATTGTATGCCATGTGCTCCAGGACTCGAGCCTTAAAGAGGAGACTAGGTTTAGAAGATTAGATTAAAGCGTCATTAATCAACAAGTTAACGGGGGGAAAAAAATCTGCAGTTATGGAAGAGGAATAAACTGATTTTGAAACAGAAAAGTGAGAATTGTTTCCCAGAAAGAAACCAAGCCATGCCTAAGAGTCTCCAACCAGTTAAAAATAGTGGAACATTACTAAGGCTTCTTTGGAACTGTTCCTTCTTTTCGAGTCAAGTATTATTACACACATTCCCTATGGTTCAAGAATTCCATGTAGTTTCAGTAATCTTCCAGTTTGGTGAGAAATAATATGGATTTGGAAGGATTTCTGAAACGCTTGAATGAGGCAGTGGGATGCCTAAGGATGAAGCAGTAGGAATAGGCTGGAATGAAAATGGATAATAAGGCTCTGCTCATAACCTAAAGCTATGAAGAAATGCCACCCACAATTCTATCAGTAAAGCCAAAGGGCTATACAAATTAGCCTGCTTGGCTAGAACAGGATGATTAAACCCAGCAGACATCAAAAGAGTGCTCTGTTAACTGCATAAAAGAAAAATTTTGAGGAAAGAAAAAGGATTCCTTTCTAGTTGATCCAAGGGAATATAGAACGAATCAACAAAACTGAGAAAGGGAATATAGAAAGAATCAACTCAAACTGAGACATGAAAAGATTTGAAGACCTAACTAAATCAGAACTATCCACATTAGAGTTTTTACCTGGCTACAAATCTGCAGAATAAACCACACTTAGCAGCATGAGGGATGGGCAACCACAGAGATATGAAGGTAGTAACAAATCACTGTTACTCAACCACTGAAAAAACACTTAAAAAGTGTAAAAGCAGGTATCGTAGTAACTCTTGGATAGTAAACTAGTTACTCTAGTAACTCTTTGGACATGAGGAAAAATTTCTTTACTGAAAGAGTGGTTAAACATTGGACCAGGCTGCCCAGGGAAGTGGTTGAGTCCCCATCCCTGGAGGTATTTAAAAGACGCGTAGATGAGGCGCTTAGGGACATGGTTTAGCAGGCATGGTAGCGTTGACGGTTGGACTCTATCTTAGAGGTCTTTTCAACCTTAATGATTCTATGATTCTTCTAACATACACAAGACAAAACTGCTAAAGCAGAAGTTAACAAAAAGGCAATACCTTCCTAATTAAAAAGAAGGGTTCCTGAAAGAATCTCTATGGAAGGCAAATTAACTTAGGAACATATTATTCAGTATTAACAATAGCATAAAATGCAATTCAATTTTGTAGGCCAAGCATAGATCAAGGTCTTACTATTGCACACCTGTGCTTTTTGGTAACTGTAATGGATTACAATAAATAATAGCACATTAGTAATGATTCAGAACAGTAGTCATGAGATGCTAGCAAACATGCAAAAGCGTGAGTTAGATGCATTCTGAAAATATGAAGCAATCTCACATTTTATTCATATTTAATACAATCATAGCTATGACTAATAATCTTGTAATCTACTGCTCTTGATGGCCTTTTAATATTCATATGGCAATATGATTAAAGCAAGACATACTTCAACTGAGCATATGGCTATCAGATTCAAAGTTACTTATCCTCTAAAGAAGAAATAATTTTTGCTACATTGAACAGCTCAAATTACATATTTTCTCTTTACTATACCATCTAATATGTTGTTTAATCAAGGAAATTCAAGGAAGCTGTTAAATACATCACTGTTACATGCTCTAGTACAAGCAGCATTCATTAAATTCAGTCTCTATATGGATATAAAACAAATATGGAAGGATCTCTACTTTCACATGGAATCATTCACAATTAGGTAACAGGAAAGAGAACAGAAAAAATATCCTGAAAAAGATTTGTAAGCCACATCATTTGCTGTATTCAGTTTCCCTTCAACAGAAGAGGGGAAATAATCATACTTTAAATTAACTGCAATTGTTAATGGTGTGAAAACTTACAAAAGAAAAGCATACATACTAATTTAAACAAGTCAAAATATAGACAAATCTTATTAACCTAATACTGAAAATACCAACGTATAATTTAGATAAAGATAATGGGAATGTAAACCATAAGCATAAAAAAAACCATTTCATAATGGTGAAGGATTAAAACAAAATTAATCTTCTCCTGCAAGCAATGTGCCTGCCCAGATTAGTTTCAGCATGTCTTTCAAAATTCTTACTTTGGTTTTGCTTTATAAGATGAAATATTTGCTGAAACTTGGAAGACTAATTCTCAATTTCTTAAGTTCCTTATCATAACTATATCCCATTTCTTTCTTCCCCATTCAATACACAGTAATTATTTTGAATATCTATTTATTTGCTAATAAAGCTCTGAAAAATATAAGTTGAACCTCTCATTATCTTACCAGAAAAGACCTGCTAAAAATATGAAAGTTTAATACTATTTTAACATAAATCAAATAATGAACATATACGATCTCATGTACATTTAAATCATCTTAATTTACTCGCATGACAAATTTAAGCTGATGCTCTCTATGCATTAAAAGTTAGATACATGCTTTAAAGAAATTTAAAAACTTGTTAGTAAAGCCTTATATAGTTAGTGGAACCAGTGGTATCTCCATTACCCAAAAATACCCATACAGAATGCATGCTTGGGAAGAGCCCTGATACCTTTAGTTCTTTAAGTCCCTGCATGTATCTCCCTTCTACATCGTGTATCTGGTCCTTAAGATCATAGATATCCTGCAGGACATAGGAATGAACCATTGCATAAGAAGTATGGGGAAATAATTTATAGTCAAAAAAGCATTATGAGGTTTACATGCATTTCTGTCAAATGCCAGCGCCTGCAATAATTCACAGAAATCATAATTAATTCACAACTTGATGGAAATTAAGATTTTGTTTATAGCCCTGAATCCAAGCCATCTCAAATAGGACAGAATCATTTCAAATTTGACATAAACAAAGTCTTATTTTAATATAAGCTAAACTGTTATCACCATAAGTATTTATAAACACAAATACAGTTACCAAGATAAATACAGAAATCTTCTGTGATAAAAATTACATCCTCGTAACTTCTTCTTACTATTAAGAAACCAGAAGTTTTGTAGCAAAGAAAAATTCCTGCTAACCACAAATATAATTTTAAACTATCTCCAAATTCTCCGAAAATGCAGTTTACCCGTAATTCACTGAGGGAGGCATCAGGATCCACCAAACTGCTCGTGTCTCCACTTCCTCTCCTAGATGAGTTGCCACTCAGAGGAGTTGCACTTACTGAATTGCGAGATGATGGCTTAAAAGGGAAAAACATTGTATCAGGAATCATACTGTCATTTCTGGTATACTTGACATTACTCTTTATTAATTGCTTCACAGTCATAGAACACTTTCCTCTCTTGTTTTTACCATTTCTTAATATTAGCTTATAGGCAATATTTTCCTTTGAATATTTTCCAGCACAACACAGGGCTTTGCATTTGGGGTTGTTCAGCCTGGAGAAGAGAAGGCTCCAGGGAAACCTTATTGGGGCCTTTCAATATATAAAGGAGACTTATAAGAAAGGCAGAGAGAGACTTTTTACCAAGGCCTGTAGTGACAGGACAAGGGGCAACAGTTTTAGACTGAAAGAGGGTAGATTTAGATTCGACATAAGGAAGAAATTTTTTTACGCTGAGGGTGGTGAGACACTGGAACAGGTTGCCCAGA